CTCATCCAGGAACCATCGTCCCCGCCTTCTCCTTGCTGTTGTTGGTTGTTATTATCGTCGGGAGTTAAATAGTTGTTGGCAACGTGGAATCAAATAGATATCGAACAGCGTTGTGGGATTTATGCCGGAGTTATTTTGGCATCAATAGGATCGTGGGCAGAGGTCGGGGAGGCGGAGGGGAGAGAGAGGAAGCGGGAGGGGTAATGAGGGGGGTTGAAAGGAGGGGGGAAAGAGGAGGGGCACGGAAGGGGGAATGGGGGCGGATACGTTTGGTGGCAAGGTGGCCTTGCTCGCAGCAAGATGCCAGTGTCGGAAGGTTGCTGAGCGGTGTTGGTTTCGGAGTAAATGCTAGCACGCCTTGCGGATCTCTCTGTGTCGGTTTGGAGTGGTCGAACAGTCTTGTCAGATACTTGTAAAATGCAGCCAACCAGCATCGCCCTTCCCTACTGGTTCCGACCGGTGCAACGGATGCGAGGTTTCATCTTTTCCTAGGCTTCGTGTCTCGAGCGGCTGAGTTCCAGGAAGGGATCGGGAACGCATTGTGATACATGCTGCGGTGAGAGAGGTGCTCTCCCGAATGAAAAATAACAGTGTGGAGCAATACAAACACAAACAATCAGCACTGTTACGTACTCAGACGCACCGGAGGCTAAGGCTTACTCACATCCTTGAACTCCTTAGCGGCGTAGCTCTTGCCCAGGGTGAGAACGTCGAGCCGGGTCACGACTCCGAAGGTCCCCTGCCCGAGTTCCTTCACGCCCACGGCCCAGACGCTGCCGCCCTCGCCCCCGTTCCGGGTCCGGTGCTGCTGACTTACCACGTCGGTGGCCACGAAGAGCTCGTCCGACCCGTCGCCGTAGCGCTCCCGAGTCTTGTCGACAAACCTGTTGTACTCTCGTCCATGGAACCAGTCTCCGTACACTCCCCGGGCGATGGAGTTGGCGGGCACGGGGGGTATTACGGCGACTTCCGCCAGCGCTGCCTTGCACGCCTCTGCTTCTAACTGTTTGGGTTTTGGGGAGTAGAGATACCGGTGGCGCAGGTTGATCGTTCAGATTTATGCGGCGGGGAGGGATGTTATAGATTGAACAGCGAGTGGGCGGAGGGATCGAGAGCAGCTCAACGTTTTGGCACTCCTTGAAAGCCTACGAAACAAAAAACCTGCCACCCAGACGGCGGGTTGATTGCCGATGTTGTGATATACGCCGCTACAGGTGTTGTGTCTTCACCGGGAGGGGGAGTCGGCTGACAAGGGAACCCAAGGCTTCCTGCGCACGACCCACAAGTACTCCGGCTAGGAAGGAAATGGAGTTCAGATCACGGATGCGGGTGTAGGGATGGAGGGTGGGGGGCAAGGAAGAGAGCCAAACAAAGGGCGGAAAACGATAAGTCCAGGTGTATCAGCATCGTGCTACAGATGCTGCCCCCATTGCCGCTGCCTCTACTCCGCCAAAGAGCGACGGGATTTGTACGCTCACGAAGAGTGCGAGCAGGCTTGACGGGGTGGGGCGGGAGTTGTAAGGCAGGGCGTGTAGATTGTTGCGCCTGCTGGTGTCCATTTGATTCACCGAAGAGGGCAATGCATCACCCTTCGATTTTGGCGGCCGGGAAGTTTATTTATTACAATAATAAGAATCCGTGCCAAAAAGGTTCACGCGCAGCAAGCGCTTCATACCCTATATAACGTCCAGGCCATCAAACACTGTCAAGGGCCGGGGGAACGAAAAGGCACGTGACATCAATTCGACCAGGCTCGACGAAACGTCCTGAACGAGAAGGTCAAGATCGCCACCGAGAAATTCCATCCGGCGGTGGCCGCGGAAAATCGCCTCAGGGTGAGAGGGAGGGAGTGAAAAGTGAGTGCTACAGCAAGCATTCTTGTGTCGAGTGGTGCGCAAACGACGATCTGTTGGTTGCGCACTCGAGGGATACAGGGTGATGATGACTTGCATGTATGTACAACCGTGACACCTTCACTCCTTCCCTCTCACCCTGAATCGGTTAGCCTCGGCAATGTCCCGCCGGAAGGCCTCGGTGGCGGCCTTCACCTCTGCGTTGACGACCGCTCGTCTCGCCTGGTCGGAAATTCGATGGGCGGGTGAATGCACGTGGATGTTTAGTGTTTCCGGTTCATCTTGTTAGCGCATCAATACTCAACACATGTGGCAGTGGTCCGACTATTTAGTCCGAGTTCGTCTTATCAACAGCCCCTCGTTCGAAGGAAGGGAGGGGAGGGTAGCCTTAAAGGTTGGTGGACAATCAAATATTTAGCCCTGGCTTTGTGCGAGACGTGATTGGTGGGATGGTGCCGCCAACATCGATGCGTGTAGGGTAGGGCTACGGTGGGGGGTCGCGATGTGCCAACCAATGCCACCGAAACAACAACGGCCCACTGCTGAACGGTCCCCGTGTATCGAGGGGACGAAGGATAGGGTGGTTGGCTTGGTCGCTTGCGGGGGTGAATCATAGCCTTGGTGTATTTGTTCTCGTAGAACTGTATGGCAACTCCCGTAGACCATGCGCTCAGGTTAGCATTGCAGGGACACGCGCTATTTGCTAGATTGAGCACAGTTTGCCAGGGCATCTTTGAAGAAGGAACAATGCAACAACAACGACAACAACGACAACGGCAACGGCAACAACGGCAGCAACAAAGGAGACGGAGAGGATTCGCCTTCAATCGCTCAACCCAACGCCCCGGGAACGATCCAAGTACCTCGGTCAGAAATGCCGGCTCAAACTGTCCACAAAAATGTGCAAGCTTGCAGGTTTCACGTTGTTGAAAATACTCACCACTTCTCGTCTTACCTCGCTCGCCAGAATCACACGGTCCAAGCCGCGAAGATTCTCAGCTGAAATGATCAACCTGTAGCGCATGAACACACACAGAAACTTCTCCTCTCTCAGCTTCCTTAGCTGCGGCGTCTCCACCTTTCGCCGAATCGCAGTCGCGCTCTGCTCGCCGGCCTGCAGGGGGGGGGCGCAGTCCACACCGGTGTCGCCCCGTGCTGCCACCGTTGCTGCTGCTGCTGCTGCTGCTGCTGCTGCTGCTGCTGCTGTGGCCCTCGGCAAGGAGAGCAGTCTGTCAGCGCGTGCCGGTACGTGTTGCATGTGCATCGCCTCTTCCTGCCGAAGAAGCGGAATCGTCGGTGGCTTCCGGTTGCCGTGGCCTGCGTTGCCGCCGCCGGTGCCGCCGTTGTCGCTGAAACCTCCGCCTGCACAGACGGCACCACCGCCGCAACCGCTGCCGCCATGGCCGCCGCCGCCCGCCGCTCCCGCCGCCACCGCCAGGCAACACACGGCCCGGTCACACCCTTCTCTTGCTGCCGCTTCCCTTGCCGCCTCCGTGCTCTTAGTGCCGGTCTGAGGCAGGTTGGTCTGCCGCTGCTGCAATTCCGGAGGGCAACCCCAATCCGTGCGGCCGCCGTGGCCAACGTCCTCGGGCCTCGTCGACGGGGGGTGCGTGAAGACCATCATCTTCACCCGCCTGCCGCCGAACGACATGGCCACCGCTTCACGGAGCGGGCTCATCAACGGCCCTCGGCACCCGCTTTCCCTGCAATCGCCACCGCCGTCGCCCCCTCGTGGCACAACCAGCCCACAAGGATGGTTGTTTGTCAATCGTTCCCCTGGCGCCACTAGCCCGGGAGGCCTTCTCATTTCACCCCGTCCGTTTTTTTCCGGAGGTGGGTTCCCGAACCCGCTGCCGCTGCCGCTGCATCTGCCGCCGCTTCTTTCGTCTGTTCCCGTCGCTCCTGGCGAGATCAACGCCATCATAGCAGCCTTCACCATCATTTCCCTCTCCAACTTGTGAGCCCACTGCTGGACGGGGCTTGTCGACGGGCATGGGTAGGCGGGGCCGCAGCTGGCGTTTTCACAACGGCCACCCCCCGCTGCTGCTGCTGCTGCTGCTGCTGCTGCTGCTGCTGCTGCTGCTCTTGCTCTTGCCGATGTTGATGCTGCTGGCGATACGGTTGCAGCCGACTTGCACAGGGGACCGACGTCGCCGCTTCCTTCCGGTGAAACCGTCCCCCGGCGACGACCAGAATAGGGACCGCCGTGACCATCGTCACCACCGCCGCCTGTGGTCGACAAGAAACGATCGTCTTGCCTACGGCCGGCTCCTTCCGGCGGCCCTTTCGAGTGTGCACCGTTCATGCCCACCGTCACCTCCTCCGCTCCCCCACCTTTTTCTTTTTCACCACCCTCGCCAAGGAAGTGGTCGGGAATGCCGTTGCGGCAAAGGCTTCGGCGAGCAAGTTCCCGAATTGCCATGCATCGGGCCTCTGCCAGCTTGTACGCCTCGAGGCCAGCTGCCGGACTTGTCCCGGCTTCGTCCATCCGGTAGGCCAGGTTTTTCATCCGGGATTCGTCCTTGCAACCGTGGACCTGCAATCACGGGGGGAAGGTGAGGAGGGCGGGAAGGTACCCCATTAGAGCTGAGTAATGGTCACGGGACGAATACACTGGACAACACATGCAGAACAATTAAAAATATATATGTACTCTTTTTTTTTGGTGCATCGTTGAAAATGTGTTCGTGTTGTACCACATGCTCTATCAGCAATCACAACATCGTTCGGTGACAGGGGACGGGCTATGGGTCCTTGCGTGCATTCACCTCGCTCGCGAGTATGGAACACGACGCACACACACTCGACTCCATAAGCAACACGCACTACACTCACCGTCGTGAACGAGCAGCTGCTTCCAACAATCGCAGTAAGTCAAACTCGGCGTGAAAAAACATGTTCAATGAACGTACGTAGTAAGTAGGAAATGCAATGACCGTGACATAATTTTCACCGGCACGCCTGTTCGTACTCATTTTAGCAGTTGTAGCGAAAAGCAGAAGTGAAATTTGTAAGAAAACACGGCTCAATAAAATGGATGCAACATATTTGCTGAAAACGTCCAATACGTTTGAACATCAACCAGCTCCCACGCTCCTTTCGTAGTCCTTGACTCATTTTTCTTCTACAATCTCCTCCTCATGCCTATGTATAATGCGTCCGATCCTCACATGTCCGCCCGGGATGTGCTTCCTCAGCAAGCGAGAGTTTCCCAATATCTGTTTGAGGGCAGTGACGCGATCGTCTTCGTACACCTGATCACATCGCGCAGGTGTGATGTTGTGGTTTTGTTTCGAGTTTCCTCATGTTGAGCATACGACAACAACGTGGTACTACAGAATTTCGTGGTCAATTCGACTTGTTCCACAAGGCCAGCGAATATCCCAAACAAGACTGCGACGCGAAACGACGGGGGGGTCCCGTCTGTACACACCTACTTGCAACCGTCGACGCTACAGATTGCCGTGACAATTTTGAACTGTGTAACGCGAGCAACTTCGCCAAATATTTGTACTCGGACATGCCGTGCAAGTTTGGCACACGTTCAGTTCTAAAAGGCTTGGCCCAACAAAGCGAATATCGCCTATTCAGGGTTACTAAAATGTGACCCCTTGCCTTTCGCTGCCTCAACTCCTCCTGGGAGTACTTGATGGCGGCATCCGCCGACGCTTGCTTTTCCTGTAGCTCTTGCAAATCCATTTGGCAGTGAACCTGCTGCTGCTTCTTGACCCCCTTCACCCATTTCACTAAGAAACGGGCTTGTTCCGCCTGCTCCAGGTCTGGATTGTTTTCCCTCTCTCGGCAGGAGGATGGAGCATTCGCCTGCTTCGACAACATCGAACGGTTGTTGGGCCTGGTTAACCGAGAACTGCTCTAGACTAGCCAAGAAACGAGGTTTCTTGATTAAGCCCGTACCTGAACGCCCTGAAGTTACCGAGCCCCCCCCCTCTAGATTAAAAGTCAGAGCTGTTCACGGAGTAGAATTGGCGCCATTCCGGGCATGTTGAAAAACAAGCCACGCGGCTGATTTGTTTTTTTGTCTCTAGGAATTGGGGTGGACGTTGGCCGACGGTGTTATATTTTCTTGTCACAGACTAGGTTGTTCTTTCGTGATGCTGCTGCAAGCATCGTCAAGTAGAACCACGGTGCTGTAGTTTGTTCCCTAGCAAGTCATGGAGTGGGGTTCTGTAATGGCATCGCTGGGATCCACTCCGTGGAAATATCCTTGAAGATCGCTTCAAATTGGCAACAACACTATGTACCGTAGTACTGTACAACGACACACAATCAAACAACACAACAACAGCAACAGCTGCAGCAATAACAACAACGACCACAACACGAGTTGCTCGCACGTAATTAGGATGTATCGCGGATAGAGCTAGAAGACAGAGTGACCAACAACTCTCTAACCGAAACGTTTGCTTGCGCGCGCGGCACTCAGTATTATTACTGTACTGAAAGTTTGATACCAAAAAGGATCCGACTTGCAGAGGGTTCGACAGGAAAAATCAGTCCCCAGCAGATAGATTGCGATACTTCTGTCGTGACCCAACGAACACAGAGTGCACGTGATCAAAAGCAGCAACATCGGGCATGAATGGCGGCCGCGTGTGTGCCTTCTTGGTTACCCCCATACTGCTGTGTATATCGGAACAGGGACAGGAGCCTCTCAGAGAAGGATCACACCACTTTGTACTCGGCCTATCTATGATGTGGAGGCATGAAGGCGCGATGGCGGGTCTGTTCGTGTGTGAGACCGCGATATTTCTGGGCCCAAGACCGATCAAGGGATGATCACCAACCTTGAGAGCCACTCTTTCGGCTTGCCATTGTGCGACGATCGTATCCCCTTGCTAGCCTAGACCAAACTATGGTGCGTTCAGCAATCCGCTGTAAAACGTCTGGCATTGAGTCGCGACGGACGGGTAGTCTAAAGTTTTCTGCGGCCACACTCTCACGTCTAAAGTCTCCCGCTGCTGCTGTTCGTCCATGAGGACGAGTGCGCTGCTGATGAAAGAGTGGATCCCTGGAGGCGCTGCCCTGTCGTGGTCTCTCGCCGATCCCTTGAGGCTTGGAACGCCTTGTCGCACACTGGGTTGAATTTTCATCTCGGGTGATCTGTTGATTCCTGCTGTTGGCTGTCCAGCCAAGTCCGTACCCCGTGATGGTAACAGACACGATCAGACGCGATATCCCTTGCCACGTCGTACTCCTTCTTCGTTTCCGTGCTCTCTCAGCTACTTCGTTCTCCTCTCTCACGGGTTATGTGTGCTGAGGGACGTTCAACGATGCGAGAAGCACGATCCACATGCTGGAACTTGGTTCCGAAAAGTACGTACGTAAAAATAGTTCCTTTTCGGGTTAGGAGAGGAAGAAACGACAGTCTCGCCGCATGTACTGTCGTCACTTTGGCAATGCACGCCCTTCGTTGACAACATCCTGCTGTAGATTTGACATGCAAACAATGCATATGCGCAATGGAATCTCTCCGTTTTATCTTCTATCTTCCCCATGCTGCTCTGCTCCACGCTTTACATATGTCGATCTCTTCACAGCGACTATACAAATCGCGAATATCTCGGTCAGGTCCACGTCTACGAAGTCCGACTCATGCGTACTTTTGTAACGCTGGAGACGACCTCTGTGTATCCTGGAAGATATGTAGTCTACAGTAAATGGGTCGCGTCTTGCGGTGATCTCCCTCAGAGTTCCTCCCACCGAATCAAGAAACGTGGCATTCACGATGAATGGAATAAGTAAGTAAGAGCTGGGACAGGCCCCGGGCACCTCTCGGAATGCCCTTGTCTGATGTCCCTCATGTTTTTTCGAGGCAGAGTGTCGTCGCATTGCGTACAGCGAGGCCGTTGTCGGTTATTTCAAGGCCGAGTACAATAGAATATGCGTTCGGGCATTGGGCAAACTGCAGGATAGCTAAGCTACGGCGAGAACTTCACAGCCACGAGTTTTTTCACGGGGGCATACCCGGTCTCGGCTGGAGCTGGAACCCAACCCCAATCAATATTTTACCGCATATGGCAAGGAACACAGAAAAATGGTGATGGTGACGATTAAATGGTTTTTCCGTGGCTGTCGTCATGGTGCAGTTAGTTGGAGACATTTATGTGGTGGTGTGCCTCCCTTATCAATCTCCCAGGCCAGGATTGTACGGGTGTTGTGCCGTATGGTTGGAAGCTTGCCATTGGCCGGCAGCTGTTGTTGGTTTCTCCTGTCCCTGAATAGCTATTTTTCAAAGCGGATAGGAGCTGCTGATTTGCTGCTTAGTGTGGGTGGCCGAACTGAAGCACTACTGCGGTCGTCGCTGCTTTCTTTCACAAGGGCACGCAGAAACATTTAGACCGTGACTGACTCTGGCCAGATCGTTGCGCTACGTTCATGCTGCATGAACATAACGCACAGAGGCAACGAAAGGAAAAAAGGGATGCTAGCACCAAGCACCGTGTGCGATATAAATGGCAGAAAAGTATGCGCTGGTCAGGGTAGGCAAAGTGAACACGTGTGAAACGAGCCAGCGCCGCCCGCCTGTTCTGGCCAGACATGAATAGGCAAAGTCAAAGGAAATGTCGGCAATGAATGCCGTAGGCAGAGGGATTGCTCGCGGCGAAATCTGTTTCACGTCGTTCGCTTCTGCCGTCGTCGTGGTCATGATCGGTGCCGATGATCAAGGTGGTTGTTTCTCTCTTCCAACGTCGTGCCATGAAAAGCACGTACAGCGCTGCGTCACGGTGTCGCGCATCTTGCTGTCTTGAATTGAAACCCCTACACCTCACGCCCGAGATCATCTGCCTCTGTCATATATTTCTGCCAGTGAGAAACAATAGCGGGTACCCTCAATCTCCCAGCCTTCGAACGCCATCTGGTACTGGGTTCCTGAAAGGAGCTCGGCGCTCGTTCGCGCCGCACCGTTCGCTCATCTCGCCGTATTATCCGCAAAAAAAGAAAACGAAGACAGATCTGCTGCTGTCAAACTCACTCGTGAAATGAAATATAGGCTTGGCATCACGGTGCCGCCTTCCCCCCGTGCGCGCAACAACTAAAACCTTGCACCCTCGCAACAGCAGTCCACCGGCGACCACTAGAAAACATGACACCAGCACTCCCCGAAAACGCACACACCCTCCCATCTGGTGTTGCTCGCCTATGTCGCTTCCCCCTCCTTCATACCCTCCGTCGGGACGGTTTCCTCCCGGTCGTCTTCCGGCGTTACTGGGGCAGCCGACCGGAACTGGACCCCGGGAAACCGGTGCAAAGCAGCTGCGACTTCGAACCGCCTCGGCAACGCAACAAGCGGCCTGCCAAGGATCGAATTCGCTGTCGTCGATTCTGCTGCCGTGGCCTGCTGCGTGTCACGGCCTTCCGCCGCAACCCCGGTATCACGGACGAACAGTGCTTCGAGACCGAGGCCGCCATCACTCCCCCTCCCGCCTCCGCACCCTGTTGCGGCGTCCAGCAAATCAAGCGCTCCCGAAACCGACAGGAAGCCCGGGGATCGCTCCGTCGCCCTCGCGACGAAATCCACGCCGAGCGCGCACCCCCTCTCCATCCCCCCACCGCCCACGAGCTGGCCCACTCTAGAAAGGTCGACTGGAGGGCCTCTGCTCCCGCCGCGGTGGCCACGGCCGCAGCAGCAGGGAGAGGCATCTTCGGCCTGCGGGTGGCCGGGGTTCCAACGACCCCCCTTAGCGTTCCCTGCGATCGTCGACTCGTCGCAGAACCGATCGCCGTTGGAAGTGCTGTCGATCTGACGCCGCCACCCGTCGCCGACACTACCGCTACTTTCCTCGACCAATCCCACGCCGCCGTCATCACCACGGCCATCCCCTTCTCGTTTTCTCTTCACGTTAGAACCCGCCCCCACTGCTGCAGCAAGTCGTATTAGAACTGACTCGGGAACGACAGCACGCGGTTGAGGATCCCCCGGCCACGGAAGGCGGTGGACCAAACCCCTTCCGGCGTATTGGACACGCCCCACGCAAAACCGTCGAGATATCTGGGTGGTCCAGGTAGGGTTCCGGGGTCAGGTGAATATATGGGAGAGTCAGGAGGGCTGGGATGATGAAGACAGCCACCCGAAACGGGGATAATGAGCTTAAAGACGTGGACGGACCGGTGTTCAGCTGAAAACAAAAGGCAGTAGGGTCGCATCTCTCATCAACCAAAACAACTGAAACGCCAACATCTCGGTAACATTTTAGGAGTGTTCACTGGTGTTCGACGCTTGGACCGTGAACCACAGCAACAATAAACAGCGGAGGAACAGAGAGACTGAAATAGAAGACAGTCGTAGAGTTGCTTAGACTTACGCTATGCGCACGCTCCGTGGCGTCGGAAACAACGTAGTTGTCCACCAGGAGGGCCGTGTCGTGGACGTCGAAGTAGTCGCCGCACCCTCCGACCACAATCACCGACGACACTCCCAGCTCCAGCCACAGCGAACTCACTCGATAAATGAACTGCATGCCCGTACAAGTCGCGCAGCAAATTTGCATGGAAATGTTCACACAACCGAGCTCGGACCGAATTGAGGTGGAAATTGCGGACGTGCTGTCTGTGCCGGCGTTCCCGCTTCAAAAAATTCGCGGCAAGGAAACGAGCCGCGCTCGATTGGCGCCCCGTAGACGCGTACCACTCGCCAAGCGCGCGCAAAGGCGTTTCATGTGGGTAGAACCCACACCAATGCCGACGAGCTTGCATATATATTTTTGAGCACCACCGCAATACATCATGGAACAACACAACCGTCTTGATTCTATGGAGAAAAACACCGCGGCTTGCCCGCCGCGGCCGGGTCATGCTCTCCAGAATGCTACCAAAACAATACTTCTGCACCCAGGAGCGCGCAGATTGAGGTACACATCGTGTCTCCGCAAGAACCCGGGGACGGCGAGTTTGGTCCCCTGAAGACGCTATTCTTCCGCGTGCAAGAAACATAATTTGAAGGAAAATATGATGTCTGCACTCAAAGTGAGGCTACTGCTGCTGTAGGTGGTCGCCGTTCGTGGATATAAACGTTCCGCGTTGGCACACGCCAAGATGGAGGAAACAGGCCATGGACTGCAGCTGACCACTGCTGACGCGCTGGAATGATGCCACATGTGCCGTGGGCCGAAGTGCATCGTGGGGGTGCAACTCTTCCAATATAGGAGCGTGGTGTGCTCGGTTTCAAACCCATTTCCTTTCAAAAACGGGAAAACAGAACAAACAATAAATCAGACTGAGCTGCTCACCGGTGTGATGGGCTCATGGCTGACCATAGCCCTCATACGGCTGTCCCTTATCATGAACTGCAGCGAGGGGGGGAGGCAGTAAAAACAAACGCGCATGGGGCAAGGATGGAAACGCATGATCGGCACATGGCTAGATAAACAATCGATGCTAGAGAGAGAAAAAAAAACGCTCCTATGTGTTTCACCTTCCTCCTGTGTGACCCCGGCGGCCACTCCAAACACACGCACCGAGAGGTATGTAAGACAGGAAATGGAACAAATGAAGCGGGGACACCAATGGCGACGGTCATGGTGCTACCGCCGGATGGCCGGAAGATGGACCGGGGTACATCGACTTCAGTTTCCTGTCGTTGCACCGTTGCGCCGGCGAGTTTACCAGGTAGAGAACAAGGGAAAAGGCCATGCCAAGCGTTTGCATAGGTGCTTGTCTTGGAGTAAGAGAAGACATTGAGCCTCGTGCCGGCCCTTGTGTTCTTGTTTTCCTGGGTGATGAGATTCATCGGTCGTCGTCGCCGTTTGCACGTGTTTGCCAACGGTACGGTGTTTCGCTTCTACAACCGACGAGTTCCAACCTGCGGGGTCACTCAGAAACTTCCAACAAGATGCGATAAGGCCTTCGGCCACAGGAGTTTCATTCTCTCAAGCAAGCTGGCCCACAAACGAGCTTTTCCTGCAGCATCAGGTACGAGATAACGACTAAAAATGCACTTCGCCATCGTTCCGACTCCCAATCTAGCTGCCAGTACGTGCCCGAGGTTGTGTTGCGAAGACCACCGAGTTGTCCGGCTGGTTGCATCGCCTTTTTCATCGCGCTGCAATCCGGTACAACGGCCTCTTCGCGGAATCGTGTCATTCAAACAAAACACACACACGCGGGAACGCCGCTGTTGAATCAGTCAAGGGCATGATAATCTACGAAAAAGGGATATACCTACCTGCAGCAGGCTAGTGCGTTTTGAGCTCTGGGGAGCGACGGCGATTCACACAGCGGCCGGGGTGCTTATCATATACCTAAAAAAACAAAAGGCCTCTCCCATACATTTAAACCGCCCTTCATCAAGGGAGGCAGTTATGTTCAGTCCTCGCATGCAACTAACTCGTCATCTCCCCCCACTCACATTCCCGGCGCAGGTGTCTTCATCCAGCAGCAGCGCCGTCGCCCCTGCCTCCAGGGCCTCCATGACGTTGGCCGCCTGGGACGTGCTGCCGCTCGCGGCTCCCGTCGAGAACCGCTCGGTCGTCACTCCCTCTCCGCCGCCGCCGCTGCCGCTACCGCCGTTGGTTTCTACCGTGCCGCCCTCGGCATCGCCGACGGCGCCGCCGCCGCCAGCCGCTGCCGTGCTTTCGCTGGCTGCAGCTGAGGCAACACCTCCGGCGGGGGCGGCGCGAACAGGAGGAACTGCGACTGCCGACGGGAGAGAAGAGATGAAGGGCGAGATGTCTACCGACGAGACCGGTCGGCCGTCCTCCGCCCGAATCGTCACGGCACCGGGGTCCGCCACGGCCAGCTCTCGCCCGTCCCCGGGGACCTTGTCGTACACGCCCATGGCCAGCGCTCGCAGGAGGGTAGACTTTCCTGTTGCATTTGATGACAGTACAACATAATTCCACCACCACGACAGAATGGTGGTACATACTTGGCGGGGTTGACGCTACGCGGCGCACGCGAGGGCGCGGCTCAGCGGCAGCAGCCTTTCTTCAAGGAGGGTGCGCTCATCCTGTTGTTGAAGTACAATTTCATTCCATCACCACGGCAGAATGGTATCATATCCTGGCGGAGTTGAGGCTTCGCTGCGCACGCTGGATTCGTGCAGGTGCGCGCCTCAGCAGCGGCAGCACCCCCAAGTGGTTCTCAAAAATGAGGTCCGACCCAACTCATTATTTTTTTCTTGCCCGGGGATGGGAATGAGCATCATCCCATTGGAAAGACCTATAACACATGCTGAAGTCCCGAGCTTGAGGGACCGACCCCCACAGCTACACACAATAAGCACAGGTGTATGTACGTGTATCACATGTGTGCGTTCACTACCATTTTTTCGGAACTGACCGTGGTAGCCGCCACCGACGATCACCGTCACCCCCCTCGGCACGAGCATCCCCTTGACGACGCCCCGATGCGGCAGCCGGAACTCCCTCCGGAGGGATTCGGGGCTGTGGAAGGGGACGGCCCCCCTCGAGATCTCCATGGGCCTGTCGTCCGAGCCCCCTCTCCGGGGCAGCACGCATCCGTCCGCGACGAAGGCCACGCCGTCGCTGGCCGCCACGAGCCGACGCAGGTGCCTCTGGTCTTCGACGCTCTTCTCAACACGAACAGTACAGCGAAGAAGGGTGAAAGGGGGCGGCACGTCATGGGCGAGGGGAGGTGAAAACAGGGGTGGGAAAGAGAATCAGGAAGAGAAAAAAAGCATGGTCACGGAAAGGGAGCACAAGAGCACTGCGATACTGAGGGTAGCATTCAATATGGGGCGGGGGCTCTTGCACTCGGCACGCAGTATCAGCTACATGAATACTTTTCATGGTCTCATTGGAAATTGTCTGGTTCACGGGCAGAATGACTAGATCGACTTCTTTTGGTGCAGGACACGTGAGAGCCTTGAACAATGCTCACACAACTCTATCTGGGTCACATTCCCCATGTATTTTTCTTCGTTCGTGACATTCGACACCGAGAGTGATAACCTTCATCTACATGACCTCAGTTTCATGCTGCGCACCCACGGCGGAAAAAGACTTGAGACTTGTGACAAAATGCAGCCTCCTCTGCTTTGGCGGTTCAAGGAATTTCGCGCCGCTCTCTGATTTGTCCAACGCACCGGAATCGCTACAATCTCAACTCTGGGTGGCCACGCAAAAGCTCACGCCGGGTGCGGGTGCTCTCCCGCACCACGCAAGACCGTTCGCTTGCTGCGTTCGGGGTGGCGGCGTGAGGGTGCAACCAAACTCGCATGCTCTCGTGTCATAAAAAAATAAACACGAGGATTCCGACACACCTATTTCCCTTGCAAGGGTCCAAGAAACTTTGTCATTTTTGGCGACACATACGCCTCATGCGAGCAATGCGTGCACCTAGTACATACCTCAACGTGTGCACGGGCCGCAGCGGCGTCCAACCCCCCGCCCGGGTGGACGGAGCCCAACAGGGCCTGTTTCACAATCCCACGCAGAACCTCCGCCATCTCCGCCCCCCGACCTCTATCCTGCTGTTGCTCCTGTGCGCCTCCACACAGCTGCCGGGGTCCACCGCCGCCGCCCCCGCGGGCCGGCAAGACCTCAAACACCACGCTCACCGCGCCGGTGGCGGCGGAAACAGCGGCGCGGTTCGTTTCCAGGACAAACTGCCCGACGGCCTCGCTGTCGTAGTCGGACCGGATGCCGTGCGAGGACGCCGCGGGGGAGGCGGCGGCGATGGCGGCGTGGAGCCGGCGCGCCAGGAAGTCGCAGAGGGCTACCGGCTTTCCGGTGCGGTTGCCCGTAGGGTTTGTGGCGGCTGTTGGCGGCGGCGATGACGGTGTTGATTGAAAGCACGCGTCGGGTAGCGCGGTCGCCGAGGCTGTTGCGGTGGCCGCCAGTCTTGAAGGCACCGGCAGATTCATGACGCAGGGGAAAAATGGTTTGTGATCGTAATGTTGGTCAGCCGGTCGGCGTGGTCGACGCGAACTAAATGGTGCGGACAATGGCGGTTAACTGGTTCTGTTTTGTAGCTAACATACTTTGGAGAAACGAAATTTACAAGCTATCTTCCGGCTCACGAAGTCTCGCACTGCAAATTATACCCCCGTATACAGGGTTTCATCACCGCGTGGGCATGCTCATCCTTCTGCCTTTTGCGGGGGCAGCGACGTCGCGGGCTACGGGTGGGTTCCGAAATCCAGCGCATCCAGACCCAAACCAAACGCTCGTCGCTGCTGTATTCACTGCCATGACCCGTGGGTCCCGCAAGGCAGCCAGTAGTGCAGCACGAGCAATTTTGCTGTAGCCTACTTCACAAGGTTTGGGCGTGTGACGTGAGCGAAGCAGCTGTGGAAGACAGTTTTTTATTACCTTTTCGGACCGCAGCTGCAGCCTTTGATACTGTTACACAGAGCCAATAGCATGACAGCATGCACGTCCCTCATGCACACATGGGAGCATTTAGGTTGGCACTCTTGACAACGCGGTGAACCTACTACTGGTGTACTACCCTGCCGTGCCTTCGCTATTTGTCGGTCATGAAAAATTGACAGTGACAATCACGTTCGGCTGCCCTTGCCAACCCCTTCGCCGAAACACACCCACACAGACAGACACACGTCTCTCTCAACGGGTCAGCCACTAAGCGCGCGGTCGATGCCGACTGAAGAAACACGTAGCACACCTGACCGGTGCGTCGCGCGTGGCCGTTCGGAGGAGGGTGATCCCCAAGCCTTGGCCCAAGTCCCAGCACGACGGGTTGTCGTCGTCGTGGCTGAAATGCAGCTGATGATCATCATGCCGGAGCTTCACCAGGGCTTCCTCGAGCGAGGCTGGCATCCGGCTGCTCAGGACCTCTGGTGAGCTCTGGGGCGACATGGTCTCTACTGCAGCGGGCAGTGTGTCGCGTTCGCAAGCAGCACGCATCAAACGTCGTGCGAGGGGGCTGTTTTGTCTCCTTTCTCCGTTGTCCTCCTGGTCCTGGTTCTTGGAGGTCAGAATGTGGTTCCGAACTAGAACCGAGTATAGAACTTGTCATCATCCGTCGTCCGGTCTGTGGCTGTGTAAACTCTGTAGCAGTATGCATCAGCACCGAGCCTGATGTTTGGATCCAAGATCATGCTCGCTCGCGAACGAGACAGAGTAGCTCCCAGCTCTTAGAGAGATACCACAAACCTTCACTAAGGAACCCATGAAGATGACAACCGTTCTCGGTTGCTTAAGTAGAAAGGCTTCACGATACCTCCCATGATAGCCCCGTGTCGATTGAAGTCTTGTTCAAGACCTGAGACTATTTATCCCACCCGGTGGGGTATATAGATATGCCGTTGACTAAGTATCAGTCTATGCCTCACGCACGCGTCGTGCAACCTACGGAATCCCGCTTCTGGGACTTCCATGTACCATGGTCACGCACAACGCCCTCCTCAAACGGGTGGCAGCCTTGATGCTACGATTTTGGGGGAAACAAGTACGCTCCAGGAGGCCGTATCCCTATCCGCGCTTGACCAAAGTCACTCCAAAGGAATGCATGTCACTGCTAGTGTCTACCACGTGTCCGACGTCGTCTGACCTCTATCAGGCACACCAGTACTCTTCGAGACCAAGAAACAAATTAACGTGGACATGCTGCAGGCCAAGGTCATACAAACGTCTCCGTTCTCGCTTTGACCAAAGCCACACAAAGAGAAAACATGTCAATCGTTCTCCTCGGAGGATATCGATGTCGCCAACGCTCCGAGCCGCGAGGAAAGGTGCAACGTTACGAGGCACCGAAAGCCGTCTTGCACGAAGCTTCCTCGGATCGTTGACCGTGACTTTCGTCCGAGAGGGATACGAGGGGGTGCCCTCGCACGCCTCACACTGTTCACTTCTGTACACATCTCATCTCGGGATGCTGCCTCTTCACCGAGCATCACAGTCTGTCCGGTGATGATATACCCCGCCGCATATCTGTGACCGTTGCCTGCGTGGAACGCCTGCGGATACAGCGTTGGAGATGCGCACCTCCCTGCGGTGTCTTTGAGTTCAAACCCTAAAAACACAAAATACATGCCAATGCTTTTGCCTAGGTAACAGACTTGGTTCTGAACCAGCACCACCTCTAGTCTTACAGGCCAAGAAGCGATTACTATGTGGCCAAAGGCAGACAACAACATGAAAATCCCATAGATAAACCCAAAGTTAGACACGAATGCACGGCATAAGAAATCACAACCTCTGCAGTAACGTGCAGCGACGACGGTAATCGGGGGAAGAGAGAGGCAAACAGATGCACGAGAACCCTCCCAGAAAGGAAAGTGGCGTCCATCCCTCCGACCTGAAATCTGAGTGAAGCAACCAGACATGTAAACCTTCAACAGCCGAAACGAAAGCCATCCGCGCACACGCATCACATAATCGAGAAACTGTTGTCGGCTTCTCTTGGCGGTTGGTTGCAGCTAGACAACGCAAGGCCTTACCCGGGGAGACCCCGCATACTGAAGTGTGCCAGGAGCACCATACATCGACACCGAAACAAGAAAAAAAAATGTGAGATGGAGGCCGAGAGCGCTGGTTCCCTTCGGATGCTAAGATTGGGCAAGAACAGACCCACGCGTAGATGCTGAGCGAGCAAACCGTGCTGAAACAGGTGTGAGGATACACATTTCCGCCAATAGAACCGTTTTCTGCACGTCTGTTCGGCTTCCATATCCCAATGTTCCAACTTCCAACTTTTTTCGCAGATTTCCAAGCAACCAACCCGTTCCAAAATTGTCGTTGCCATCCATTTCCAAATTTCCAAAACAGCCATGTCCTCGGACGCGAAATCGAGGTTCAACGGTCTACGGATTTGGGAATTTGGAAGCAAAATAGCTGTTATGTATAAACGGCCCACAGGAACCCAACCGAGAAAAAGCGAGTGGACGACGAAGATCGACGACAGACAACGTACGCTCAAACAACGAAATATTATACGCCAACACAAACAAAAATCAAACAAAAGAATGCACCGAGCATACGTACGCACAACATTGGTTTGTCGAGGTGGGCCTTCTTCGGCGGTCGTCGCGACACGCTCACGGCCACGTGCCACCATCACCACGACCACCACCTTGATGTCCGGGGTCTCTCGACTCTTCCTAGTGGAAGCTGACGCTGATGCTGACGTGCTTGGACACCAGCAGGGCGAGCACCGCCGCGGCCGCTCCCAACGTTCCCCGGAACACGGGCTTGATCCACGCGGGAAAGCTCTGGGTGATCATCATCTTCAACACTGCCGGGATCGGCTGGTCGACATAGGAAAGACACAGACAGCAAAACGAGGCAAGCTAATGGCGCTCGGCATACACACAAGAAGCAAAACGAGGAATGTTTTTTGTTCTCGACATGGAAACAGGCAGCTACACGAGGCATGCTCATAGAACTCGGCATGGACACAAGCAGCAGCAAACGAGGCATGCTTAGCACTTGATGTTGCTTGGGACCGGTAGCCTTCGCGCTGATGATGAGTTTGGTTTTAGTAGGGGCTCCGGGGTGGGTTTGGGGGTCAGAGACACAGGGACAAATAACCCTCGCCAAAGGCAGCCCCTTGGGACGCATGACTCCCGCAACTCTCGGACACACCCGCCAGCCTGTTAAGCTGGAGATCATACGGGTAAGGATGCATCTTCGGCGCGAAGGCTACAACAAGGTCTTGACGAGGGCATTGCACGAACCCTCAAGGGGACGGGAACAGGCAGGTAGTGGAAGCACGCCAGAGGAGGAGGAGGGCTCCCCCGCACTCCAGGACATGAACGAACGTGTCTATCTGGTGCTTGCCGAAAGCTGCACAGAACCAAATAGACCAATTCTCTACTGAGGAGAAAACACACATACAATCACAGAACTGGAACTATGCAAACCAAATAGACGAACAATCTTCTCAGAAAGTACCAGTAAACGTATGCACAACAACACAAAGACCACAACTCGTTCAAGATGCATGTCAAAACAAGATAGAACCGTCGCCATGGTATTATGTCCAGAGGAATTAAATCGTTTCGGGAAGGTGAGACTCTGTGGCGCGGTCGGGGTTCACTCAAACGAGAACCAGGGAGAGAGGGAGGCGACAGGTTGGAGGGAGGCAGGGACGTCCACCCCGGCGCTCTTGAGTGACCCACAAAGGCGGCAAGCACACTGACAGCCCGCAGACAGAAAAACGTGCGGAGAGTTCCCCCTCGCGGGACTTGTCCACACCTGATCTCAAGAGCCTACTACAGCAGTAGAGGTCCCTGTTTAGTGCCGTTTGACTAGTGCCGGTGCCCGGTGTAGTGCCGGTGTTTTCGGCGAGCAAACACCGAAATTCCAACTCATTCTCAATGCTTTGATTAGCGCCGATCCGGTATTGTGGCCATGAATATTCTGGGAACAAACCGGTAGTAAACAAGGACCTCTACTGCATGGGACTTAGGTCAGCGCTTGTGCTCCCATGAGAGGGGAGGGGGGTATCGCGCATCGTTTGAAGCGGAAAACCATGTGACCCGGACGAGAAGGCAAAACTTTTCCGACCCATGGCCGTGAGTTGCTCATATCGCTACCGGACGGGGTAGGGTCCTAACCATCGAGATCAGGGCCTTCCTTGCCCATACAAATCGGATTGTACACGGCACAACAAGTATGTGTGTTGTTATTTTTTGCACCACGATGGGGTGGTACGTCACACACGCACGCACGGCGGTAGCCCACATTCTTCATTTAAGAGTGGGGAGGGGTGCCGTATTTTGTCACCGAGCTACACAATATCGGGGAGGGGCGCCGTTGGTTGTGCTTCACTCACCTTGGTGCTTGGGTACTTGGCCAAGGGATCGAAGCTGGGAGACTGCAAGGCGACCACCTTACGGTGCGTGAAGGTGTCGAAGGACGCCTTTCCTCTCGAAGATCCCATGCCGCTTTCGCCTTTGCCGCCGAAGCCTCCATCGGTGGACAAGCTTTAGCAGATAAAACGGAAAAAAGAACAAAAAAACAGACGGAGGATGTTAACAATCGTTGTTCATACTGCGGGTAGAGTCAAGCTGCACAAAGAACAATGCGCACACGAGAAAGACGGACAATAACAATCGTTTTTTCACCCTGATGATCGACACGAGCTTGATTACATAAAAAGGTAGCGAAGACGAAAAAGAAAAGACGAGGAATTTAACTATCGCTGTTCCCGCTACAGAACGAGATGGGGACTTTGGCGGCACAACTCCGGGCGTAGGTAGCAAGCTTGGGATGAAAGCCGACCAATGACTGAATCAACGAGAGGCGCTAAGAGAGTTTCTCCCCCTCCCTTTCGTGCGGTCCAAACCACGCCCATGATGCCCACAAGTCGTCGCCGGACTCAAAACGACGCGTTATGGCAAAGAACGGGCTCGGGCAAGAAAGAAAGGACGGCATCCAAACTAGCCATCGTCAGCCCTGGCTTTGGCTTGTATCAAACCCACCCTCCTCCTATCCTGCCATTTCACCAGCGCCCAAAACATCCAAGTGACCACGAATAGCAGGCGTTTCCGAAACACGTCCACGAAACGAAGAGGAACCAGTCAAGCAAGACGATAAGAGTGAAACCCAACCCAACAAAAAATGAAATGCCGAGGGTGCTTTGCTTGCGCATCGCCAAGACTACATAAAACAGGTGGTACTACTAGCTATGCGCCACGACAACCCCCTACCCTCTCTCTTTTTGCTGGCTGGGTAAATCAACCCGAAAAATCGCACAGATCGTCCCCACCCCGTGTGCTTTTAAGATTACCGTAGATTGCATAGATACCACACCCTACTTCGGGACCGGTTTTCAAAGTTCGACTACTCCGCGGCAAAAACACTGATGCTGTCCAGAATGACGGCATTGTTCGAACCGTCTAGACCAGAGCGTTCCGAAAATGTGCCATTCGATGGCATCTCACATCCTCTTCGTCGCGGAGCAACACAGCAGTAGAGCGTCAACAAATCGGTCCAAGGGGTGCGTGAAATCTTGCGAAACCTATGCATACGGGTTCGTACGTCTACCAAAAACTTATCATCATAATACCGAAAGCGACTCCCGCAAAAACACAACGGTAACCCTCTGAACACACACATCCAACCCCCCTTTTCACCCAATTAACTACTTGGCATGCAAATCGATTTATCCTCCGCATACAAGACTAAAAACAGAGTTGCACTCTTTAATTTTTCTTTTTGTGTTCGTTGAGGTTCGCTGGACTCTTCGAGCTTAGGAAAACGTCACTGATGGTAGCTAGCTGGCAGTCATTTTCACAACAAAGACATTCAGCACTTTCATCTTGCGTCACGACTACCAGCACTACGCTCTGATGAGCCCCACTCCGGAGGCGCGCGCCTTGCACATACATCTGAACCATGCAGTCATTGACGCAAGCCCCCCCGGAGGCGACCTCCTTGAGCCACTTCTCCCTGACGGCCGGGTCCCGCTCGAACACGTAGGCCGCCAGCGGCGTGGGCCTGGGCCTGCAGAAGGCGATGGCCTCCTCGACCGAGTTGACCGTCATCACGGGCAGCACCGGCCCGAAAATCTCTTCCTGCGGTGAGTTATGGCGTGGTGAGGCGTGGTGTGGCGTGGCGTGGTGGGGTGTGCGTTGCGAAGTTGTGCGTTGTGCCTTGTGGGGGTGAATCTTGCTTACGAGACGTTTTCGGTCATTCTCACGTGAGACATCTATCATACTGCGACAAGGAACGCAATACTTAGGCCCTGGCGGGCCTTCGCGCGACAACCTACAGGGTCGGTCCAGAGTTGTTAAACGCGGTGGTGGTGCGGGTCGAACTAACGGTGGGGCTACGGCCTCTCGAAAAACACACAACACACCGCCTCGTCTTCACCCCATGTCAACGACTGGAGACAGAAAGCCAGCCATCGGCAGAAAACCATACCCCCTGTGTTTTGAGGCGTAAATCCTCCACGGCTATAGCTTCCTCTACACCCCACCAAGGGAGTACTCATCATACGTGCGCGCACTTGACGCAGCCTGACCAATGCGTGCAGGTAGATCTTAAGCAGCCTTCCCGAGAATATCAGCGCGGTAAAAATACTATTTTAGTGTTACCAGCCCCCCCCTCTATTATACGAAATACCGCAGTTCAATATCCTCGCGATGGCGGTCCTAGACGTTAGGCCTGGCCACCCACCTGCATGAGCGGGCTGTCCGGGGAAGGGTCGGTGATGACCGTGAAACCGAAGAACAGATCCTTCTCAGAGGTCTCCCCTTCGATCACCACCTTGCGGGGATCAGACAGCAACAGCACGAATGTCGATAATACAGCAGCAGCAGCAGCAGCAGCAGCAGCAGCAGCAGCAAAACGCCGATAAAGTCAGGCCCTCAACGAGTAACAGCGACAAACACGCGAAGGAAACAGCCAAGGGGCCACTTCGATGCTGCCGCCCGTGGGTCGCTGTTTTCGAGCCCAATTGCTTCACAACAGAAGACGAGCAGTCCGACAACAGAACTAGACGAGTAGTCTGCCCGGCATATTCACCCCCACCACCGCCACCAAAAACACTGTTACCTACTACTGTTTCACGTTGCACCATTCGTACCCCCAGATGGTCGCATGCAGGCCATGTAGCGAATCCACACAACCTACAACAGAGAAAAAATAACATGAAACGCCCTGACCAAAACCAAAGGTCTGATTGCCGGCAGCTGGGCTTCCACGTGGCCTTTCCAGGGCAACGCACAGTTGTTGGGCGGTGATGCCGAGACCGGCGATTTTCATTGGTCAGCCCTTCAGCGCGGTCGATGCTACATCATACAAAGGACACACACGCATGCACTTCAGTCGACTCTTCGGTGCTATGCATAGTAATGAATCAACCACCTTCTAACGCACAAGCACACGAACTACAACAAAACACGTATCGGTTTCGCGCATCTCCATCGGCGGCGGAGCTCTGAGAACAAAAATAAATAAATGAAAAAAACGATGACCGGTCCCACAGCCGTACGTCACCCTTTGCGTTTCGCGTTATTTATTTTCGTACACCGAAGTATCTCACAACGCACCTCTCCGCCGTGGCCCTCGAGTAGGCCCTGCAGCCTGCCGAAGTGCGCCGTGTTGATGATCCTGCCCTTGGTCTCGCTTTCCTGTTTTTTTTTTTTTTCAGCGGTTGAAGCGGAGGTTTCGTGATCGCCCGACAAGTGAGAACCGGACAAAAGCATATACATATTTGGCGATTTTTGTCTCAAACGAGCAAACGGGCGACGAAATATCGCGCGTTCACACGCGAACGGTGCAACACCGTTTGTTTGTCGAAACCGTCGAAAACGCCAGGGGTGTTCCGGCTCACGTCAGAACCAGCCAAAGGATGTTCACTGAAATGCTACGAACTTGGGGACACCCTTCAACATGAAGACAAGGCGTCTTGGAGTTGGCTCTTCCACGAAACGTCAGACCCACGGAAGGCACGGGAATGCCGGAAAGAATACCCCCGCGAGGACACTTCGATAGGAGCTGCCATCCACGTACGCACGGAAGAAAGTACAAGATGCCGAACACCCTTTGCAGGACGCAGCGCACCCTTCATGCGACTCGCCGACTACCTCACGGTGCTTTGCGCTTGGTGATGTAAGAGCCTGGTCCGGTGAGAGCCCGGCGTGCTCCGTCCCGGCTTTGTAGGGGTGCGAGGCCAATGGTCTAACGACTACGGCGTGCAAGACTCTGTGTACCCCCCCCCCCCCCCCCCCCCCCCCCCCCCCCCCCCCCACCCCCCCCCC